CAGAAAAACGAATATATTTATTGAATTAGTTGCGTTCTTTATCCTTAAATTATTCATAGGTCAGTTTTAAATGGCTTAACAAGCAAATAGACATTTCTCTGACAATGATCAGATGCAAGGACTGGGCTGAAAATGAGTGTAAAAAATTGCCTGACTTCTCAGAGGTCAGGTACTTTGATACTAACCTAGATTTAAACAGTTAGTTTGAAGCCCCTGTTGGGCTGAATGAGGAATGGAGCTTCAATATTCTTTTCAGTGGTCACGGAAACATAAAAAAGTATCGAATTATAAGGCAACTTTGATCAATTCTAAAACAGTTTGGCAACCAAAGCAAGGTTTTACAAGCTTTTGTCACTTTACGCTAGATGTTTGCTACACACACACACACAGTATAAAAACATTACACCTTCATTAACGACTCAATTCAACATGATCGTCACTGCTCGTCTCGTCAGAGAACTGAACAAATTACATGCTAATTGTGATACAGGTGCCACCACATACCTGAAACAATCTTGAACCTCTGTGTTCAAGCAATAACATAACAGCATGTTAATATGTTCATTTTTCTTATAATGTATCCAGTAACTATAAATAGTCTCAAACCTTACCTAAATATTACTACGTAAGGTCCGAGTTGTTGTGATTTTCAAATGTATTTGTAGTCACAGTTAGTACAGACAAAATCAAATTCCTGTGACATCATGTGACACATAAACTACCTCATTCAATCATTCAGAGCGGCTTGGATTAGTTCAAGGTTATTTGATCGTCTCTACTTTAGCAGACATCCTTCCAGATTTCCCCTCTCAATTTTAACTCTCAAATAATAGGGATTTGCTATGATGAACAAGCTCAGCCTCTTGGTTTCTTTGGGACAGAAAGGATGACTGATGGAGGGAAAGGGAAGCAAAACTTATCCAATCTGGAATTGTAAAGGGGTGAGAATAGTGTAATGTCTGAATGAGGTCAGGGAGGAAAGCTTCACAGTAAGCACTGGGTGATAAGGAGGAGAGATGGTGCGAGTGGGAGGAGTGCTATCTGCAGAGCGATGGAGAGAAGGGCGAGTGAGGCTGAGCGTGGGAAAGAACACAGGTGAGAGAGGAAGAAAAAGAGACGTGTCACCAAAACAACTTTGTACTACAGTAGTTGTCCTCTAAAGTCCAAACCTCTGGCCGACCGTCATTCTGCCACAAAGAGCCCAGAGCAGCACAGCCACTGGCATCACAGTCAAGTTTCTAAATATAGATCTGAGACAGCCTATCGCTCACGACACGCTGGTTCCCACTACAAGATGCTTTGGGGGAAGTTATTCCCTGGCAAACGCTTCGGGGAGAAAGACACAGACAGCTGAGGAGAGAGATTTAAACCAAATAAGACATGAAAAAGAATAATGACATAAATAGGGAGAGTGGTTGAGGATTGATAGAGAGAGATAAAAAAGGAAGAGGTGAGAATAAGAGGAAAGAAAGAAAAGAGAGAGCCCTCTGCAGTCAAACAGAAAAGTGGTCCTACAGCAATGATGTAATCCCCTCTCCTCTCACTGCTCCCTCCCTCTTGTGACTGCTGTTGCCTACCTCTGTTCTCTCTCTCTCTCTCTCTCACACACACACACACACACACACACACACACACACACACACACACACACCACAATCTAACAAGGCGGGAGAGTGAGGGAATTCAAATTGTCTGTTGCCTTGACTACTGCCGATGGCCGGTCACCAGCAGACAAGGCCGAGTCCTGAGACATGCAAATAAAAGCCAGATGCTTTTATTTAGTGGCTCAAGCTGGGAGTGACTGATGGACTGATAGAGTGTTTTATGATGGGACAGAGAAATGAGGAGGCAGTAATAATCATGAAGATGGAGGAGGAAGAGACAGAGACGTGCTGGTGTGCATATGAATAAATATTCATAAATGGGTACAAATCAGAAGAAGTAGTGAGGGAAGAGAAGGGGAGGAAAGGGAGGATGTGGGCAGAAAGCAACCAGAAGCAAAATAAAACAGAAAAGTACATTTGAGAGGCAAAACCAGTGTTTGCAGGGGATTATATGTTTGGCTGGGAAGTGGAACAGAGTTAGGCGGGAGACTAGTCGAGTGTCCAAAGTGATTCCACGGTGCAGAGCATTTCAGTTGATTTCTGTTTCACAGCTGTGTCAGGTTTGACTCAAGCCCAGATGGACAGAAACTGGTGTCCCCTCTTAACAACGCACAGTGATGAGGAGTTGTAGGCAGCCCGTCTAGGGCTCATGTTAGTATTCGGCTTTGTCTTACCCACATCCTTAAATATGCGCACTTTACAAAACTGGAAGATTTTTTTTCCATGTGAATGCGCCAAATGGGGAAAATCTATTAAAAATTAAATCAAAGGCAATCACCTTTCCTAAGTTTTTCTCAAACCTACATGGGTTACAATCAATCATGTGAATGTTATAGATGTTGAATTAAAAAAAAGAAGTTGAAGTTTTCTCACACTGCCTCTAATGCTCTATTATTATTACCTAAGTCTTTTTAGCATTTATTAATTTCTGGTGGTTTGATAGCAACTTTTATCAACTGGTCAACCTGGAATGGGTATGGACTCATGCTCATTGTTTGGCAATTTGGGGTCAGTGACGCTGAACAACGATAAAGTGAATCTTTCTTCATGGTGAATATTCAGGGCTGATGAAGCCAAACCAAAAACTGCAGTTCTTCTATTGAACCCCATGCTTCCAAGAAAAAATGATCAACTTAATAGCAGTAAAACTCAGGTTTGGCCTCTATAAATAATTTACCCCTTCCTTACATCTCTACAGGTTTTTTCTAAATATTTATCCGTCCATCTAGATACTGTAGTTAGGAGTGTGGCCCCTGTGTTGGTGACCCCACAAAGGCCATTGGTCCCTCCATTTATTATAGTCAGCGCACTGGACTTCTGCACTGTCTTAGTGTTGTGCCTTTTTGGAGGGTTTTATGCTTTATTTTACTCTTTCCCCCACAGAACCACAGTTGTATATATTTACCAATTTAGTACCGAATGTAATCAATGTCATGATATAAAACATCCAAATATGTCCAAATATTTATCTAGCTTTTGAGGTGAAGCTGAAGAATTTGGAGGTCGTCCTACGTCCTATCGGATTTGCTTAGCAGATGGTACAGTGCTCCTTGGGCTTGCCCATTGTTCTGAGTGTTGGTCAACCTAGTAGATGCTGTTAATCACTATAACTATTAGTTATATTCAAGTCATGATAATCAATAACAAGACGTTAATCAGCCAAAACTACATTTATATCATCACTTTTGCCTTTTCTTGTTCTCCTCTTCTTCATCTGACTCCACTATCACTGATCTCACCTCGCTCATCTCCTTCTCATTCTCTCCCTCTTTACCTCAGTGTTGGGAAGGTTACTTTTAAAATGTATTCCATTACAGA